AAAGTTTCTTTTGAATATTTATTCTCTCACCTTCGATGCAGTGCTTTAAACAAAGCAGGCAATCGAGATTCTCGACGCGAGCGAATTCGGCGGCGGAAAAGTAATGATCGACCGCACGAGAGGGAAACCTGTTATTCGCCGTAAGACATATTCCGCAAAAGATTCCGAATGCGAGATGCGTTCTTCGGAAGCGGCGCGGCTGCGGCGGCGGCGGCGGCGACGATAGCGGCGGCCATCGAAATTCGGGCAAATAAATCTCACGCTACTCTTCTCCCTTTTTCCTCTCTTCTCCGCGATCCAGTTGCAGACGCGTGTACGTGCGCACACGCGCCTGCGTACATGCGCAGCGCGTGCACGCACGCACGCACGCACGTACGAGCGGAGCGCGCGCGCGCGCGTGTATATACACGTGGATGCATCGTAAAGGACGCGTATACGCACGTGCGTGTGTTTCGCCGTTGCGTCTACCTCGTCGAAGCCTCTGAGTCACTCGCTCGCTCGTCACAGACAGATCCGCTGCGCTGGTAGCCGCGAAAAACTGCACGCTGCACTTCGGGAATGTCGTCGGCATGTACAGGGTGTTCCCCTTTGCCGCGATCGTCGATTCGCTCGAACAAGAACGGTACGGCGAACTCGCGGGTTCGATCGGGTCGCCCCTCTCTCTCGTTGTGCCCTTTTTTTCTCTTGCCGATCGCTTCGTGGAACTACCGATCTTCCTCTTCGCGACAGCGCCGCGAGTCGTCGTGATTCGCATTATATTTCAATTAAATATATATATAGCAAAAATAGCTTGTTTCAATCTTGCTTCTTGATCCACTAACGTCTCGATTTTTTAACAAGAAAATCTTGATCCTAACTTAACAATTTGAATCTATAATTAAAATTATTAACGCACTTTATTTATCAATTCTCCCATCGATTCTCTCTCTCTCTCTATTTTTTTAATTTTCTTTTGCAGCGCGAGCAAATTAGCATACGTAAGCTGTGATAAATGCGCCTCCATGCGAAATCATAGGGACGAAGAAGGATTGAATTTCCTTCTGTCTTATTGTGTACTCGAGTTAAACGTACGAGAGCACAGCCGGAGAAAGGATTCGGGTGGAGGGCAGAGCACGGAGAGGAAGAAAACGGAGGAGCTCTCGACAACGCGAGAGGGGAAGGAGGAGGTTCTCTTACAATAGCCGTAAGCTTTACGCTCATTAGAGGCGAGGTCGTGGGTCACGTGGAACCGCCGCTTTGTACCTTGTTCCTATATATGTAAGTTACGTACAAACAATATCCACGCACGGGTTAGATCCCTTTTCCCTGGATCGTACCTAGAATCGCCTTACCGCGGATTACATCGGGTATCATCTCCGATCTCAGAAATCAGCGGCGTTTATCCTTTCTTTTCAGTGATTTCTATCGAAGCCTACGCATCGCGTCTTTAATTCGTTCTCGACAATGACAAAAAAATCAAAGATATCTCTTCGATCATTCTTACGATACGCGTAAAATGTAACAGACGTGACATTAGTCCGGGGGTTTCGTAGAAGAAAGAGAAGGAAAGGAAGGAATCTCGAGGAACGTTCGACCGTTCGATTCTCGGCGGAATTCAAGTACAATCTGGCTGCCGAGGCTTACCGTCGTCGCGCGAGGTAAGGAACCGGTCTTCCCTCACACAAACGGTTGCTCGCACAAATATTACCGTAAAGACAATAATGACGCGTGAAACACAAATTAATCGCGGAATGCGTCGCCGGACGCGCGCACAGTTTCAGTTAAGTTAACATCCCGCCGCAAGTCGTAAAGTTTTAATTGGAGTTGAGGGCGCGCGTCGGGGCAAGATACGGCAGCAGGAGGGAGGTCCTCCTCCCCCCCCCCCCCACCCCGGGAGGGTGGTACACCTCGACATCCGGGATCCCGAAGAATCGCTCTAACGAGTACTCCGTACGCGTACTCAAGCGACTAATCAACGACACGTTGGCGAAGGCGGCGAAGGTTCCTGCCGCCGTTCCTGCCGACGAGGAGGATCCCTCTCCGGAGGAAAAGACCGTCGAGAGAGCGAGCGAACGCGCCGCGCCGCGCCGCGCGCGTCTACCACTACGGCGTGTCTCTTTGTTCTCGGGCGTCCCACACGGCTCGCATTGAACCCCGTACGATTATAAATTGCCCTGAGAAAGCGCGGTCGGCCTGTGCGAGCGCATCGTGGCCGGTATGCACTCTCGGAGGCACGCGAGAGACAACGGATGCATGCATGCATGCACGGGTCCGCGACGCTCACACGCGCTCGCTCGCTCGCTCGCGCGAAACGCGTACCGAGCGCGGGGAGACTTATTTACCGGAGGCACAGGGTCACTTAACCCGTAACCCCTAGCTTCGTA